TGTGACTCTGACATTTAAAAAATACAGAATAAATGAAATTTATAGAGATCAAGAAAGGGGGCTTGTACGCGAGAATGAATAAACTATGCAAATAATCAGATAAATGAGCAGATAAAACCAAAACACTTGGTTTCCAAAGAGAATTCATTGGCGCATCTACGTCTTGTCAATCACAAACAGTCATGTTGTGAATCGAATTTATTCACACCCCTTAATCTGATCCCCCCACCTCCGACGCAGAGTCCCCCTTTTCGTAGCATGTCGCCATCCGTGCGGAGCCTAAACTACCCCCTCATTCGCACGAACATTTATGCTGAATTTTCCTCACACCCAGGTCGGGAAGTTTACACATCTAAGGTGCAAATACGCAGGCACAAACGCCATTCTCGATACAACGTCACCAACTTCATTGAGCCCTGAAGTAAACCGTGCTGTTCACGTCCTCTCTGATCTTTTTCCTTATCGCTAATATCAGGAAAGTGTTGCCAGGCCTGAGTTAAATCAGCGTTCCCTGCGTGGTTCAAGACCGCGTGATGGGGCCTCAGCGTCTGTAAATGATATCTCGTGGGAAGATTATTCAGTTCAGTGCCATTGGTTGCTGTCTGACTTTTCTAATGTAGCTTCAGCTGAGGAAATAGCTAAACAGTAAGTTTTGCGGGATTTTATCAGTCAATTGAATGCCCATAAGTCTAGTCTTCGAAAAGTATGGTTTTGCAGTCTCAATCATATGAAAAGACCCAACATCGGCCACAACAACACTAAGCGTTAACGCTTCAAAGATATTTCGATTTGTAGATTTTTGAGTAAATATGGATGTAATTTTCACTAATAATAGAAGTAAGTTTAATTATTGGGCCTTGTCTTGCACGGAAATATATTAAGATACAGTATTTGGATTCATCTATACTTCCAAATCAACATTAGGGCTAATAAGAATTATTTCATTGATGGATATTAAAAATAGTGTGCAAAAACCAATAACGATGGTCATTTTAATTGGCATAATTTTTTTTACAGTGGAGTGAAGACAAAAATTCAAATGTTATTTGACTACAGTGCCATTTCAAGGAGAAAATCTAATAGATACGCTAAGTAAAATTGAATCATGGCATCTAGAAGGAAATTTAGCCCTGCGTGAAATGTAGCAAGCTATTTGTTTGGTAAATGGATTATGAATTACTCAAAAAGTATATATTATTAAGGATCAAGCCTCGAGCCCTCCTCACTTCCAATAAGACTGATAGGAAAGCTTGCTCTTGTCACCGTGCTGTTCACTTTAATATTGTTAGCTTTGCATTGCAAATATTAAATAATCCTAAAAATTGCTTCGTTTTCGAAATTTACCTTTTGTCAAAATAACATTTAATCTGGTTTGAAATGCGCATTATTTAAAGTAGTGCGGCTTGTGTGCTTGGAGGCGTGACTTTTATGTGTGTTTTCGAAGTATTTATTATTATCTTGCATAGTATTCATAGTTTAGTTTTTTAAGACATCCATTTTAATGGGTTTTTTTTTCAAATGATCTAAAAGTTCTATAGGTCGTTATATTATATTATTTTGCCTGATCTTTATCGCCATGTGCACAGTGGACGCTAAAAGTTGAATTTAGTTGTTCCCATATAACGGGTATTAGTGTTTTATGTTAATAGCTTATAATTTTGTGTTTTATTTATACTTCGTTTCTAAACTTTCTAAATTTACCCACATGTTTTATCAGTGTACATCTCAGTCACTTTTTTCTCAATGCGAAAAAATCAAGGAAGCGCCCAGTAAACAGGCTATAAATACGCCGACATTAGGCATATACTGTTTCTAAATTGTGTGCAATTTTTCTATTTACGTTTGTGTGTCTCGTAACTTCATCAAATTGCCACTGAACTGCTTATAACTTTGCATGAAGTTATAAGGGTTGTCAAGCTCTATTAAATAAGAGGAGCCTGACATGTAGTCTTTCTTAAAGGCTTAGTGATACGAATAGACTGATATGTGTTACTGAGTTACTTTCACCCATCTTGCAACGTATGCAAACCAAACACCCATATTTTTCAACCGACTATCTTCTTGTAATTACAAGTAGGTATTATTTTCTGTAATCACCTTTTTGGTTTTCTACAAACCATAATATTGCATTATTTTTTAAAGTTGCATCTTGCCAATCATCATTGCATTCTATTCGCTTGGGATATTCCATGTTGATTTCTTTATAAATACTACTGTGTTTCAAGAGACAGCTGTCTTTCATATGGCACACATTGCCTTTGAGATATATTTCGCAGCCCTATATTCATTTTTTTGGTTTGCCAGATTTACCCGTCCTTTAGAAATACCAGTGCACTCATAATTCTTCCTCTTGAGAGATTGTTCAACCACCGATATACTGACAGTTAGGGTCTAGTTCTGTTGTCCGGTTTAGGAAAAAATGGTTTGTGGTTTTCCAAACTGTAGACCCTCAATGGCGTTTATGTTAAAGACCTCCAGATTCTTAAACTCATTTTGACTTTCAGCGCATGTAAACTACTGAATTTATCCTACTCATTTTCGATAATTCTCCCTGAATAATTTTTAACGTTAATCACTTTACTGCGGTAGCTATTTTCTTATAACACTGTGGATTTTATATCGAAGGTAATTGCAGCAATTAGTTATATAGCCTCATCACCATTGGTGCTTTCACTGTCCATCGCCTTCACATAACATGATTTAATGCTGTTGCCAGCGGCAAGAGTGGTTGTTGGCACTAGCGTTGCCCTTGCCGCCGAATTAACTTCACGTATGTAATTTCCATTTGGATATAAAAAAACAAGATCCTCTTATTTAAGTTTTTTTCATTTACTGTAGACAAATAGGATGGTCGCTTGGCTTTCGATATATATATTGCTTTGTTCCTCCGTCGTTAGATGTGTTGAGGCTCGGCGAGCAGTACCATATTGCTCTTGCATTTATTTGGTATTATTATGATTAGCTAAAGTGTTATAATAAAGTGCGATTTGCAATAAATGATAAATTTCTTTTTTTCAGTTATGTCTAGGCCCTACAGTCAACTCCAACGCCAAGTGCTTAAGCTGTATAAGGATTACATGGTTGCACTGCGTCCTGGAAGTTCTGCCAAAATCGAAGAGTCTGCAAAACCACAAATTCGACAGTCAGTAAGGGACGAGTTCCGCAAGAACGCGATTAACCTCAAAAAGACACATTTCGTGAAAATCGAAACACTTGTCAGGCAGGGTCGGCGCCGATTGGATGACCTTGAAGCAGGCCGAATCTCCAGTATAATTAAGGTGTCTTTTCCTCCACATAAAGAATAATGACCTCTAAGTTACTACAGAGTATTATTCACAATCTCTTTCCTAAAAACTGTGGTCTTATATCAGCCTTCGGCTACGGCTCTGTCGTCGTTCCCCAACACGGTCGTAGCACCAACAACTCTCAATTAGATTTAATTCTTATAGTTGATGACCCCTGTAAATGGCACGTAGAAAATCTGCGACTAAATCCAAAGCATTACAGTGGTCTTGCGTCCCTTTTTAATGGCGTCTTACTTAAGCAAGTCGTTACAAAGTGGCCCCATCCTGCCGTATTCTTCAATCCACTCGTTACTTGGCACGACATTACCAACGAATTTACTCCCAAGGTAATCAAATATGGGGTTGTAGGCTATGAACAAGTTATGCGTGACTTGAATACCTGGACCGATTTGTACATTGCTGGTCGCCTCCACAAACCCGTGGTTTTTGTGCCTGGATATGAACCCCCACCCAAATTAAGGTCCTCTTGTGTTTTCAACCTTCGTTCTGCTCTGGCGTTTTCTCTCCTCCAACTGGATCTACCCCTTTTAAAAGAAGATGCACTATACCACTGCCTTGCGTCCATCTCATATAGAGGTGATTGGCGTCTTTACTTCGGGGAAGACAGACAAAAGATCAAACGTCTTGTTACCGGTGAGCCACGACGACGTAGTTTCCGTGACCTCTACATCCCACTTCTCATTTCCGAGCCTTTTAAGTCAATGCTTACTGTTGATATTCCCGCTGACCTAAATACGGACTTGCGCATTTACCCGTTAGAAAAGGACCTGTCTGCCACTCAGCTTCTCGAGTGTATACCGAGCGATCTCTGTCAGCTAGCCGCAGGTTCAAGGTCAGCAGCTGCTCAATGTCTCTTGGCCAAAATGCCGAAAAATGAGAGGCGACTGCGTCTTCAAAATGCAGCAGCTTCAATCGTCCGTTGGGCCAGTTATCGCCAGACTGTCCTGGGTCTGTTCTCAGCCGGTCTTTCTCGCTCTTTTGTGTATTCCTATGCAAAGTTCCGGAAAATGCTTGCAAGTCTAAATAGCCGATGAAGCAAACCCACGCTTCCATTCCACCTGAAGCCTTATTAGTTTATAGATTATCCCATTTGAACAAAAAGTTCACATCCTTTTTGTAGTTAGTTATTTTCCGTCTTTGTTCTTGGGATACTTTAAAACCATCAAAACTTTTTTTGTGATATTGTCTTTCTTTGGAGGCCTTCAAGTCTGCTTTTTCGTGTAACATGTATGTCTCGGATGTTTGTATGTAATACTTTCGGGTGTTAAGTATTTGGGCGTACGGACAGCATGAAATCACTAGTTAATTCGACGTGTATTTTTGTGCAGTGATTTTGATATTCAATTACATTCATGTGCATTCTTCCAGCAAAGAATCCTCCAGAGAAGGATCATTTCTATGATATTGTAGGGTGCCGTGTGTGTTCACTACAACATAGACAGCATAGTGGACGCAAATTATCAATGGAACTAATAAGCTTATGTTAAGGAAGTTTATATGTGGCACACTCAATGAGTGCGTACAGTTTGCTGTATGCAGTGGCCGCTTGTTAGCGACTACATAAGTATCCGCTCTACCTGACAGCAGTCGCCCAGAGCCCTTCCCAAAAATTTACTAATTAAGAGAACAAGCTAATTTGGTGTAAATTGGTGGTGGTTTGTTTCGTCCGTTTCTTGTTTGACATGTACTATTTAGTGGTGGGTTGTCACCTGACACGTATGAGTTAAAGCTGAACAAGATCACGTTCAACTGATTGGAAAGTGGCACAGTTGGCTGGTACAGATAAAAATTTGATCGATGTGTTCACCAGTAAAGCATCAGCACGGGCCACACGCTCGTCTGCTGTAATCCGATGTTCATTGTCCTCTGGCGTTACGAGTTGTTCACGAGGACGATTACAAGGCAGCGTAAGCAACTATGAGTTTTGAATAATCAATGGAATTATTAAAAACTAACTAGGTATTTTCGAATTCTATTGCTTAGTCTGATGGTCGTATAATTATTCGTTTGTCCCGATTACCACTGTTAATGCACCAACTAATTCCAACCTGTAGAAGTACACTAGCATCTGCTTAGAGATGTCTCAAAGTTAAAAAATGTATCAAAAGTAGGAGATCTGAGCCCATAATGATAAAATTGACAGCGTGCTGCATACAATGCAGTGCTATTAGAACCAACAGGCATGTAATGAGGTGGCATTAGAACTTGGCAGATCTGGAATATTTAAAGCAATTGCTAAGATTCGATTCCTTCGTACTGACTCTCAAAATATCAAAATTATGTTGAATGATGTGTGGCCTTTTAAAACACGTCAGCACTTGAGCAAATTATTAGTGCTATCAAGAAAAAAACCAGCACAATAGCAAAGTCAAAACAGAACCTGCCTGTCGAGAGTTGCAATGAATGTTCGTAGGGACACAGTTAAAAAGCAAATCATTTTGAAGAACAAATTAATGCTGGTATTTCTAGACATGCATTTTGTATAAAAATTTTCCCTTGTTCCGATGGAATATATATTGCTGAAGTTCAAAATTTATATTCTCATTTGCATTATTTAACGTTCCAGCACCAGGTTGATCACAGTATACGTTGAATATCTCTGACCAAATCTTCATTATAAGTCTATGAATGGAAGAATGGCAAACGTTTAGACTGACGTTGGATCTCTTGTATCATTCCTTGCACTCCTGTAATTAGCACAAAACTTGCTACTTGATAAAACCTATGGGATTCAACACCGTATGAAAAGGATGAGGCAAATGGATATGTTTATAACATGCTCGGTAGTTTATTACTGAGAGCAAATACATAGAACCTGCATTTTTATCATTTCCGGTAAATATTAACCAAGGTTCTGCAATTTAAAAAAAAATAGGTTATCTATTATAAGTAATTGCTTCCCACTTATATTAGAACATTAAATTTTTAAAATTCTGGCTGCAGATTAAAGGTAGAAAAAAGTTTAATAAAGCATTTTTTGCGTACGATTTTAATATAGTGGATTTAATTAGAAATTGATTTAATTTTTCCTTCTCATCGTTTGTTCACTTCAGCTATTTGACCTTGGACAGTAAATCCGCCATTTTTGTGAGCAGCGTAGTATAGAATGGTGCGTTTTCCTCTGTTTTAGACATCGAACCGTGTCGTTTGTATCCTAAATTCTCTGAATTCTACATTGTTCTTTCTTATTTGGTATTGGAAATGCACGAATTGATAATATTATTTCTCGCTTTGTGTAAACAGAACTCAATACGTCAGAATGAAATTTTGTGTCAATTCCCATTACATTATTTCTGCTCGATCGGCGACTCTGCTGGGCTACGACATTGTCTTACCCAAACATGCCTGAACCCCCTTGACCTTGATCCTCTAAACTATTGGACGCCTGCACATTGGGCGGTGTCAGCTAATCAGGTATGATGAGCATTTTTGTTCCACTAAAGTCTTAATTGTAGCGTGACTGCCTTTTGCATTTGGCCCATTTTCGAGCTCTTGATGTGGCGGCTCAGCATTCCCTCATAACGCCTCTGCACATAGCCTCAGAAATGGGGTATAATGAGTGTGTGGATATACTTGTAAAAAACGGTGCTTGTGTTAACTCTCAAGACTCCAATGGTGACACGCCTCTTCACAAGGCAGCTCGTCATGGGCACGTTGAATGTATGCGAACTCTTCTTGATGTTGGAGCTTGCACAGAGTAAGCATTGTGTTTCGCTTTGCAAATTTTTGTAGCACTCGTAATTTTTGTGGAAGAACAGCTTCTGAATTAGCTGCAATAAACGGACATTTTGCCTTCGCATCTGCGATGAATGCGGCAACTCGCATTCTGAGGCAAGAGAACCTACGTGTCCCCAATGGCCCACTCTCTCGAAGCAACAATATGATTGCATGTAAGCGGTCAAGAGATTGTCTTGCCTCGGTGGGCGCTCTTGACGGAGACCTTTCTGATAAACGACTGCGGTTCTCGGGTAAGTTGTCCTTGCTTCTTTTTGCTAACTCGTGTGTGCACACATGAATAGAGGAGCACACTCCATCCGTAGATGCCGGCGTAACAGCGGTATGTTAACCCTATAAATTTCTTTAAATTTCACCACTTTCTAGGTAGGCATTTTGGTCAGCCTTAAATATTATTCCTATTTCATCACCATTTGGTAGCTCGCCACCTCTTCTGGTTACGCGTCTAGACGCTTCTAAATAATATTGGAACCCTTTACACTCAAGCTGTTTATGGCTGGCCAAGACCTAACGTCAGAGGTGTCAAAGTCAGTGCTGTGAAGGAATTTCACTCAGGTCCCTAACGTACACATGTGTAGGACGCTAAGGCTCCCTCTTGTCGTACTTTGTTTTGCTCTTTTTTGTCTGAACTGACACCAGTTTTCTCAACTTACTTTTTTACTTTCTATTTTTTTTTTATTAATAACGTAAATGGGCGCTAGTCGTAAAATGGCATTCCCTCCTTTAAATAAGGAACGAATTTACTGAAAACGTCTTTGTGTCTTCAATTTTGTTCGTTTTGTATCCATCAGGGTCTAAAAAGTGTATGATTAAAACTCCCATCTCAGCCATTTTAACTATTCACCTTGTTGTTGGCGTTTAGTTTGCCATTGGAGGTTCAAAACAAAGTTGTGGCTTTTTTATTGAATGGGAGTTTAGGCACCACACAAGTCCTCTTTGGGCCTGGGATGTGTTTCGAGGTAGCCTCACGGTAACTTATTTTCATCACTTATTGACGTCCATGCTTTCTACTTGATCCATCAGTTTGCCATAATCAATTCTCGCGATTCTTAATTTTTATAATGATATGGCTTTTATTGCTGTGCCCTATTATTCCATACTATTGAGCCTGCGTTCTGTAAGTACCCCATTGAAATTAACCGACTCAATTGCTTTAATTAACTCAATATCACATCGCTTTCCCTTTGTATGGTCTTAAATTTAACTGTCGAGGTGTCTGTTCAACTAATGACCTCAGAACTTATTCTATACACTGGTTGGGTTTTGTGGGCACATCGTGTAACTTTAATAATACAAGTCATCTTTTTTAATGGCGGCCGGTTTCCTATGTTGGTTTCTTGATTTCGTCGGTCCTTCCTGGGATTTTGGACGTCATAAATTCCGATGCAAAAGATACTTCTTTCACACTCAGGTTTTGTAAATGGTGGGTGTCAGGAGAACTAAACTTCTGTGTTGAATGTAAACCTGCTCTCATAGGACCATGCTCCCCGTACGTGTTGTTGAACCCCTCTCATCATTAGTGTCTCTGTCGATTTCCACTTGTTTTTACCTCTAACGTCACATGCGATGTTCAGAAATGTAATACCTTTGTAATGGCATCCTTGGTGGTCCTGGGACAAGATTACCCGTTGGCACCACAATTTCCTTTGTGGCGATCCCGTACAGAATTATCTTAATATCACCTTGTGCGTATCAACAATAGAATTTCTTTGTACGGAGGTTCGTTGATATTAACACGGGACTAAACGTGTCATACTGATAAAACGTAATTCTGCCCACAGTTACACCCACAGGTCCTCGAAAGTGCAGAAAAGCCAACTCAGCAAACGTGGAAATTTTTAGTCTTGGCTTGATTTGGTCTCATCCTCCGTCAATGGCAGTCATGAAGTCGGTGTGTCATTCATGGAGTGTAGGTCCGCTTGAGGTAAATAAGCGTCGTCGGGCCACCATTCCTGGGGCCCGGTTACCCTATGGGGGCGTTATGCGAGGAATAGGCCAAAAGATACAACGGATCCAGCCGCCCGCTGGACGTGCATGGGCACGAGATTGTGGTAGTCGTAAACTCAAAGCTGGGGAGTGTAGATACAGGCGGGTGCGTGATCGACGTTTTTTTCATTAAAAACACTAGGTTGAGATAGTCGACAGCGGCAATAAATAAATCAACATAATTCACATCAGTGTCTTCAAAAAGTGCTTAGCTTTACGTGGCTATCTTACTTGGCTGATATGAATTTGGGGGAATGGACATATTTTTCACCTTACGTCGGTTCTTTTCACAGTCTGTGGTCATTTCAAGTCGTCTTTAGCTTTAAGCATTTCTTGAACCACTTTAATTACTCTTAAAAAGGTGCTTCCAGACAGTGACTTTGCGGATGGGGTTGTTTGCTATACTATCCTTGCAATACGTCAGACTGAAAACAAATTATCCAATGCCTAATCATGATTTAAAGCATTTTACATTGTAGTGTTTAATGTGGCGTTATTAATATCATGAAGTTGTAGTTTTAGCATTTGATCAACCATGGTCAAATGGAAGTGGCTGCTTGCTCTTCGAATCTGGGGAAATAAAGATGTCAAGTAGTCCGTGTTCACGTGATCTATGAAGTTTGTCAGTATTTTCAGTTCTCACTTTCAAAAGTGGAGAATTAGCTCCACCAATTTCGATCCATTTTTCTCAGTATTCAGTTAAAAATTGCGCGCTTATCTGACTTACCTGTAAGTTCTGGTTCGTGGAAAAAGGATTTAAATATTGTCGCCTTGTAGGAACATTTGCACACAGTCCAGCGCCCAAGTACGTGTCAGATCTTTTTCAGAATGTTTTAAAAAATTCCATGCGAAAACATACCTCAGCTAATGAGGCCTTTTGAAAGCCCTTTACAGCACTGACTTGCTCCTCTGACTAGCTTCAATTTAATTCTGAAAGCAATAGAACTTTGCTCGTCTTAGATTTTGATTACAGTATGCTTGAGGGCACCTATTAATAATCTCAATTTTGCAGTCCAATTTAGGCAGCGTTTTGAGGACGTGAAAACTCAGTGGATCCCAGACAGGAGCAACTGTGGTATTGCTCCCACATTTAAGTAGCTTACACGTTTTAATTTGTACGTCTACCCAATGTGCATGCAAAGTCTATTTCGAGACCTCTAAGAGCAACGTCCGTAGCAAATTTTAGATTTACAATGTCACAATTTTAGTGTAATTTCACAAAGATATGCTTGGCCACAATTTGTTCGTATTTTTTAATTACGTTCTGATTCAGAAGTCTAAGTTGACGTTAGATTAATATCAGCTAGCAGTGCTTTGCATTTTCGGTTTGCGGAATTCTGGTCCCAAATACTACGAATCCAAGTTCTCATTCTGTGTATACATGGCCCTTTGTCTGAGTTTGACCAACTTTTACAATAATTAAGTAAACTATATAAATGAATGGCAGATTTTCTGTTGTGAGCCCCAGCATGTGGTCCTAGGCCCGATTACGCTTGCCTGATGCCCGCGATGAAGAAGAAGACCAGAGAGGACGGGACACAACCGTTTACTTCAGAGCTCAACCAAAACTGGTGCCATTGTGTCGTGTTTGCGCATGTATATATATACCTCGGATGCGTGAGTCATAGATGCGCTAACATCGAGACCTAGGCGTGAGGTTAATCCAAGATACACAAACGTGTCAATGAAGGGGGGTTGAGGATTTGCGCGGCTGTCGCCATGCTGCGAGAAGGGGAGCCTTGTATCGGAGGCTGAGTGATCGGATTAGGGGGTTGATTAAACACGATTCACAACAATTCCAATATCGCTCGCTATACTATGTTGTCATGAGCTTGAATGTGATCTGTTGTTATCGTCGGGGACCCTGGTGATCATTATGCACAGGCGGTTTTGGGAAATGTAGCAGTCTTAATCAGTCTGATTTCCCACGTCTTGTAATGCTCGACCGGTAAACTTGGGTTGGTGGCTTTTATGCGTGGATTGCTTTATTCCTAAACGCGGTGACGTCTGAGATATTTCATAAACAGGATAATTGAATTTCCTAGTATTTAGTTGATGTTGTGGGATTTCAATTGCGCTTGCTCTTCTGAATAGCAGTTTTTAAAACTTGATTGGTGTTGGTATTTGTCATTATTAGAGGCAAACAATTGATCGCTGATATTCCGTCCGTTTATTTTAATGGGCGTGTTAAAGGCCCCGATGTGTTTTTCACACTTACACTCGGACGCCTAAGTTTTTATTGCCGTTGCGGCCCCATCAAACACCAAGTAGTCAGAGAATAATGAGACGACCAAAGTCGAAGGAGGCTTAATCGTTTATTGAGCCGCTGAATCTGATGTGCTCAGCCGCGACTGTTCACATCTATTTTATGCATCGTATGCATGAAAAATAGGGAGCGTGGGCAACTGAGTTTTAACCTAGAAGGTTATCGTAATGTGCTTCTACATGCAGGAAAAGTTCAAGGAAAATATGGGATTTCATCGGGATGGAAATTGAGGCAGAGTCAAGTGACTCAGCAGGGGGGTGATGTATTCACATGTTAATTGTTGTAAAGTTTGTGCGTTTACAAGATGCACTAATGGCGTTTTTAGAACAGGCGGAGTGCATGTGGGTGCTTTTGCAGGAAATCCACCTTCAGGAAGGCCGATTTTCTGGTTCTGTTAATTGCAACATTAAGCAGCACCACGCTCTTCAGTTTATTCTCACGTTGCTATATTGGCGATTACGCCACTGGTGTGGTTTTTGTTTATGCTTAAAAATTCCACTCGATTATCTCCCACGATATTGCTCTCAGCAGGTTGCATAAATGTAGTTTTCTCATGTCGCTTTATGGGCCATTGTTACAAATCAGTGCATTCGTGTAGTGACATTCACAATCCTGACTTGAATGTTGCATAAATGGGCTGTTCGACTCATCTGCTTTTCAAACTCTGCGATTGTTATGCGCGCTTGCCAGTTGACTTGAGTCATTTTTAGGACACCTCTACCGTTTCAACCTGCAGTATTCCGAATTCGCGTTGGTTTTTGACGTACCCACGCACAAGAAACCGTTGTGGCATGATATAACGTGCACCCAGAGATGAGGAAGGATGTCCGAGTCGAAATAGACATTTTTTTTATTAAACAAGATCTTGTTGCTCTTTATGCGTGGTAGCGCGCCAGCCTCTTTATCCGTGCTGAAACCGTTGTCGACGGATTTATCGACTGACCTCAGTCATGAACCAGATGAGTCAACTGGTACAAGCCCATACAGCCACCGCAATTCAAGTAAAATATGCTTCTGATTGGAATCCTTTCAAAACTCATGGGCCTGTCGTGGATACGCTGCCACCTAATCAGCGTTTAAGTGTACCAGAGTAGTTAATAGAGCGCAAAAGTGGAGAGAAGACCCACAATTCGGTGATTTACCAGGATTCCTTGAATAAGGTGCTGACATTGCCTGTTCCAGATTTGAACGCTTAACCTTTAACTCGTAGTACGACCGTGCTAATCGTCAATAAAGTCGGACAATCGTCAAGGAAGTGTACTGGCATTTATCACCAGTGATATGTAAGTGATCGTCCGGAATCGACTTACTGGTCTATCCGCGCAGATGGTCGGTGCACTGTTATGTATTCATCTTTCTGTTCTTATAAATTGAAAATAAAAGCCGGCTGTGGTTTAAGAGAGCTGTGTCGGCGTTGTTTAAAGGACGATCGGGTCGTCTAGAATTAAAGACCAACTTGCAGTTGCACCTTTGGTGGTTGTGAGTGGACCGCATCACACTCTGCTGTACTCCTTCGATGATGGGCTTGGTGGCACATGTGTGGTCGTGAACGAGGGCGTGGTTAAATGCAGCATCAAAGTTATTACATAGTTAGTCCTTGTGGTGGCTTCTGCAGCCATCATGTTAAGTCATAGCACCACTCGAACGTCGGCGTTATTAGACTATAGTTCTGGTTTAGCTTTCATCATTGAGATTTAGTATGAGAGGAATAAGCAAAGACATAATCCAAGTCGACTGAACACGAAGTCTGTACTACACTCCGTTGTAGTAAAATTTAATGTGGAACTGTTATGTTTTGCCCGTAACCAGGACCACACACTTAGATAACCCTTACCCCGGATACCTTGTCTAACACTAAATTCCACCTTCCTGTGCTGATGTAAAAGAAAGCAAGACCTCCTACAAAGAGCTCTTAATGCTTCTTCCAATGGTCGAGTGGACTGTCAAAATATACCTCTTATATAAATCAAAGATGGCCTTAACCTGATAGACCAAGACGGATTAACACGAATAGCGCTGTCAGTAGGGTGCCGTGGGTGACTCACCCGCTGAAGTGGCGTGGTTAGGGGAGTCGTGTAAACAATAACGAAATCCCAATCATCTTGGGGAATGCTGGATCTACAAAACATGGTGGAAAGCGAGTACTGCAAGGAGTTCAGTTTGCATCAATAAAGCTTATTCGTTTCGTTCATTGCTAAAGGCTGGTCAGCTCATGTCTCACCGTAGGTTAGCGTCGCAGTAGCTTCATTTGAACAATACCGGTTTTCGAAATTTGCGGAAACCTGGAGTTGGGGGTTTTAACCTCAGAAAGGATTGTGCTTACTGGATGAATATTATCCAAACTACCAATTCGACCGAAGCAAGCATCGCTCTAACTTTCGTGCTGCAGTCTATTAGTCTCCATGCCGGCGATTCCGCGTTGCTTTTCTGAGAAATCCAAACCACAATGATTTTATGGAACAGCCACTATTCACACCCAACGCCTCAGATCACTTGGTAAACGATCGACTGGATTGTTTAAAGCATGCGCTGAAGAGGCTTCAAGTTGGAACGTAAACATTTGCTGATATTTTTCCTTTCCCGCCGTCTTTCCTTCTCCAAAGCCAAACAAATTACACATTGTCTTCGGTTACGTGGTCGAATTCTGTGGGCACTTCCAAACGAGTAAGTGCTACCACGACCTGATCTGTTAAACTCCTTTAAGGCTTCGGTAGCTGAAGTTTGCCATCAAAACTGACATTCATTCGATGTTCACTGAGGATATGCGCGTCCAAGAAAATGGTCCTATCCTGAAATTACCCTGGTGGACTGACAGAGACCTAGATGAAAGTGTACTTGATTGTGGCCACGCACGATTCCTCTTCCACTTCATGGTGCTTATTTGTATTTATGGTGTCACATACAATAGGGCAGAGCATATAGTTCTACAAGCTTGGATGTTTCCACTTAAACTACCTCAGAAGTCCTGAAAAGTCATTAAGTAGTTCGCGCCGTCAAAGTCAAGGAAAACTAACCACAGGGTCGATATTGCATTTCAGCAGGTAGCTGATGGTAAGATTGGTTTCATCAGAAAGACCTAAGCTTATGATGGAGCTCTAAAACCGCGGAAATAAGCAAAGGCCGGGTTGTTTAAATGCCTCATGAGCATAATTGTCAACAGAATTTTACAAGCCGGAGGAGAGGCTGCGGTATTTGCACTTGCCGTTTTATCGGATCACTTCATTACGCATTTGCGGTTTCATCACTGCAACAATTCGGTTGGTAGGAGGAAGCTTAAGAAAAGATGCCTTTTCAAGTCTGTCGGTTATAAGGCGAACTCTGTTTGGTGAAAGATCCGCATAATTCTATCCTCTGTTGTTTTGTCTGTAACACCCAATTGGCCTTAATGTTCCGAAAATCAGCCTTGAACTCCTTTGACGCTAGGGTCGCGCCAAGTCAAAGCTTTGGATGTCGTCAGCACAAGTGGCTAAATTCGTTTGGGGCTCGTGTGCCTGGTGTCAGGACGCTCACACGGCGTGATTCGGACCGTCGTCCTGTTTGCATTTAACCGCATTTTTTCGTACGTTTGTTGACACCATTGACGTAATCCATTGAAGTTTACTTTTACCGAGACAAAATTTTCTGTTATTTATTTCCTTATCTAATATCCATTCGAGGTGTTTCAGTTAGTGCAATCTGATTTTTAACTTACAACAAGCAATGGGAACAGTAATTTTGCAAACCGAAAATGCTCTTACCTTAATTTTTTTGTTTAGTCTCTTCAACCTTTGCATCTTAGAACAATCTGTTTAGATTTAGGTAACAAGGGTACCGATTGTTACGCACGGCTGTAATATTCATATTGGTTACGAACCTTGTTAAATGTTCTTGTTTTTTTTTGAAATTTACCTATTTTTTTCTTCGAAGGTATGTTACGAATGCATCGTCTATCCGCTAATTATCCGGGTTGTATTAAGCAAGCTGACTAATTCCTAAAACTAATGGCTAATCATGTGATATTGGAAAATAACCGGCTGTGCACAGACCCACCCAAATATAAAACTAATCAAAAATTTGAATAAGAACACAATCATCATTCGCCCAATTATTGTGTTAGGTTTTTGAGTCGTCTAAATCAAATCTATAAGTTAGTCGCACCCATTTGTATGTAATGCTTAGAAACATTTGAGTTATTTTCGCGTCCACATTAACTTATTACTAAAATAGTTTATGATGTGAATCTTCGTCATTTGCTTCGACCGTAATTTAGCTGTTTTAGTTTGTGGCGAACACGATCGTTTGGGCTCCAAAATGTAGTCGCATTTTACTGTATGGTCATCAGTGTCGCAAAATAGGTGTGCTATAGACCGTAAGTCCACCACATAAATTATGAGTGGAACTACTTGTCATAGAAATTACACTGTGAGATGCAACATGTTCGACCAACTCTTAACCGCTCTGAAAAGCATGAAGACATCATGTTCGTGCCAGTTCGTTGTTGTTTGTGCGATGTAAATTCCTTTAAATGACTCATGCTTTAAAATTGGTTTAAAAAAAACAGACGCCTTCGATGCATTTGGCGGAGGCGTCAGGTGTAACATTTATTGGTAGATTTGAATCATAATGTGTTAGCAGTAGGTCAAAGGTGAGCGTTGATGTGAGCTGATAAAAAGCCGCTTCGCACTCTTTAGACCACACCTATGTGACCATGACACATTCTCTCCACGTAGGCGGTTTAGTGGTGGCCGAACATTGTGCATCGGAGGCAGGAAAGCCGAGTAATAGCTGATTTGCCCCAAGAAGGAGTTCAACGAGGGTACGTTTTTGGGCGTCGGCATTTGTTGAATGGTGGGAATATTCTTGACCAGAGGCATCGAAGATACTCGACTGAAGTCAAAAAAGTTGTAATCCCTTGAACAGAATCAGAGCCCATTGTCTTGAATCCGCTGAAGGAATACGTCGATTCGCTTGTGTGACTCCTCTGGCAAACTACGAGGTATGCTGCTACACTAGGAATGCCAGGCAGAATGATGTCCATGATGTGTTGGAAGGTAGCTGGTGGGATGCGGGGACAAGCCCTAGCTGAAGGTAGATGTGGTTAGGTTCAGTTTGGCAAAACATCTACTGCTAATCAATGTTGTGAAAAGGTTTTCGGGCTGGTAAGGGGATAGTGGTGTTATATGGCATTGAGGCCAGTAGAAAAATCGGCGCATAATCGGATTGAGTCATTGGCTTTACCACGGCAATTGGAGCTTGCCCAGGAGGAGTAGGATGCCTCGTGGATCAGCGTCTGCAGACGGCAACGATGCGGAAAATCGGTTTGGGGTCTGGCAAGAGGCGGAGAGTGGCCTCCGTCGCAGAGCAGTGTCCCAAGCCGGGTTGTAAAATCGAGGCAAACCGGGTGATGATGTCCGTGGTCTGTTCGCCAATCAGTTTCGACGAATGTAGAGCGTCGCAGATGGAACTGACTAGGTTATTGGCCAAGCCCAATCGTTCGAACCAATCCAGATTGAGAAGGCTCAGCTTAGTGCTGGTGACAATACGAGCCACTGAAGGTTATTTCGTGGAAGGAGTCGCGGCAATGTATTTGGCCTTGAAGTTGGATTCCTCCACTGCAGGCACTGATGGGCGTTTGAGATTTAAGCCTGACTGGAGGCTGACCGAGAGAACGCCATTGTTTCTCCGAGATCGTCGCGATGTCTAAATTGGACGTCCATCGATGAGGATGGTTGTGTACTTCCTCTGCTCCTGTGGATTATTCTCAGAGGTGAGCCGCAGGCTGAAAGAGGAGATGGTGGATCCGCTTGGATTTGTTGAACTAAGGTGACTGGCAGTACGCGCCCCTGTGACCCATGATCTTGCATTGCTGGCACCAATGCTGCTTGTACAAGCAGAACCTGACAAAGTGACAGGCCCCATAGTGCCAACACATCGTAGGTGGTGTTCTTTGGTGATTCGTTGGTTTCGTTTATCCGCTGAATCGTGTTCATTTCGCGGCCACTGCGGCCTCAAGATTGAACTATCTTGGAGCCGTGCTGCACGTTGCTTTAGTGGATGCACTCTTCGCGGATTTCGTCAAGTAACACAAAGAGGTTCTGCTGCTCTTTTAATGGAGCACCCACATTCTGAGGTCTGTATTGCTCGGGGCTTGGGAGCTACAAATAAGAACGCGAGATTTGAATTGGTGTTCTGTCAATGATCTGAACTGACCTCTGTGAAGTGGGCTAATAAATAATCAATCTTCCTTACAAACAGTTTGACGCACCGATGCCGGATACCGAACAGCGAAGAACGTTTACCGAATGTTCGATGGAGTTTTTGAACGGTCTTCTTGATAGTGTGGAGGATTGTATTGCGGACCCTCTACAGTTCCGCCGGGCCAAGTTTGCGAGTCAGGAGTCTGACCTTCCACGCGTCATCCTTTGACCCGAGGTTGATCCAAAACAGGTTTCCGTAACGCTTATATCAGAATTCGAACTTTATTCATATTCTGGCTCATAGGCAAACTCCAAGATACTATTAGTTAAGTCGTTAATTGACAGTGTAACGACTGGGACGGCCTGTCTGGATCGAGAACTCTGGCGATCTGCTAGCATCGACGCCAGCCTCTTGAGACGTTGTTCCCTCCCATTATCACCCGTGTCACCTGCGTCGCCAATACGTTACAGTTTATCGAGCACAAGCATTCGAACCCCATTGTCCAGCCCGTCAACGGCTTGCTCCACACTAGCACTCATGTGTCCTACTGTCTCAGTCAAAGGCCAAGTGCGCTTTCAGATGTCTGGGCGACATTGAGTTCATTTCAGAGTGCAAGTGGGCTTTAGGTGAGGAGGCCAATGGCGAGGGGAACGACCGAAATGGGTCAAAAAGTTCTTGGGTACAACCACGATTGATAATGACAAGTATAAAATTGTGTAAATCTTGAAGTGTATAGTTTTGGAATGCTTAAGCCCTGACAACAGGATGACACGAATGGTAAGAACTAAGCTTTCAAAGATTCTTGTCGTGCAATAATTCAAGCTTTTCGCGTTGGGCATGTGAGTATTTGCAAGTCGATCTTTGTATTGCTTTTCTTGGATGTAGCTCCGTCATTCTAAAATGAGCATCAGTACGCACATTTGATTTGCGGTTTGATTCAGGGGTATGATTTAGCTCCATTGATCTGAGAATGCTTTTGACTGGTCGGTCGTGTGCGCAGAGCTCGCCGTATCCAAAAGGTAGTAAAAAAGCACTGCGACGTGTGAGTTGATGGACTTTATCGGGGCAGTCGTATGCGCTACCCCCAACGAGTATTCCGTGATGCTGCACTTAGAATGAAAGTTTAGGTTCTGCCAACAAATAACCAGCTTCCCCAAGCGAGAGGACGTTAGACAGGTGTAATTTTGATACGGACCTCAAATTTTTGAGTGGCTTGATGTTGCAGGAATTAAAACACGGGAGACGATGCATTCGTTTCGTGTCTACTTTTTCGGGTATGCTTTTTTGATCAGCAGTCTATTTCTATCTCCTTCAAAATCATTTTCTTCAGACCGTATTCCTCTTCCAAATAAGTCTGTCAAATTTTAAAAAAATTGCATTGAAGTCATGTATGCTGGGACTTCATTTTCCTACTGAATGATTTTACGAGGCCGCGCTGTGTGCGTTTTGCTTATTTCTTTGACCGGACACGTAAGCTCGGTCTCCTTCAGTGGAAGCATCATTTCTCGTCGTTTCGCGTCCTCCAAAAACGACAAGCACGACCGAATGTGATGCCTCTGCCCCTGATGATGATCCATTTTACCAGAACGACCGCAAATCGAGAGGTGGATTTTCACCTCCCACTACCTACCGTATCTCTGCTACTCTCGCCAGATGCATCTTTTTGATTGGTTGAGAAGGTTGGCTCAAGGATGCTTGCTGGAGTCAATACGGCGCTTTCTGGCGCTGGTAAGAAAGCTGGTAGTAATCCCCCAAGAAAACGTGCGCTCAGAACCAATCTTTCTATGAATCATCATTCAATCAATCCTCACTTGCTTCACTTCACTTTAACCCTCTTTCTTTTTGATAAACTGCGTTGCTAGGGAAAAAAGGTTTGTTCTGGTGCCGCCTGTTTCGCTCGCCTTAGTCGTAGCGGAAACACTAAAACAATCACTTCCCTAAATGAACATTTCTAAAAATTGTGATGCGATGTAAAGGCCAACCACCTTGCCCTTTAATTTTTCACTTTCCCTCTCATGAATATGCAACTACGTTTTTTTATTGACCGAGTTTTTCTACATCGTTTCTTTTCGCCATGCTTGCTTTTTTCCATAGAATCCCTTAACAGTGCAAATATGCGTAAAAATTACACACCCGTGAAGGTCTGTAGGTTTGATACAACAGCTTGCGCCAAGTAGCCATTGTAGCTGCTAACCACTGATTCGGACACAGAGCCATGGTTTATTTTTGTGCATCTTATGCCCTCGCGAGTAACGGCAGCTTGGTTTATAAATTGGAAGTTTTTGCTTTCCGCATCACTAGATTGTAATGAATATTAATGAATTTATATTATTGGCATGAAACCAAGTAAGCTTGAAGACTAATAGAGTAACGATTAGCCGCCACTTTAGACCGCAGATTATGGATAGACCGAGACACAAATTGAATAGCTAAGAATGGTGTATTGTGTAGAATAATTCGGAGTCCGCTTGACTAGACGCACTACCGCCAGGTTGCGATCAACGCTTAGCCGAAATAAGGAGCAGTAGACCATTTACATCAGTCATTACATGAATTTTAGAAATTGCAAAAAGTTTCAACTAACTCTGCACCATCAATGTTAGAATTTCTCTCAGGACCTCGGTTAATGCGTGGTTTATTAGCGCTCACACGAGAAGCTTCATCCTCAAATAGCCTGTCTTGTGGACGACGTGATTTGTCACCCGTAGGGCAGCAACTATACACTGATGGTTGTCGCTGTTAGGACTAACGCGACTCAACCCAGCCGAGGAGATGGTTTGCTGCACCTAGTGGCAATCCAAGCCACTGAAGGAGTGGGCGTTCTTCTTCCCTTTACCATCCACTCGTCTGCGTCCCGATGAGCGGTGACGGTGGCCGTCCTTAAATGTGTGCGATGACTTAGCTTGGAAGTGGTGGCCAAACCCACGCAACCACTGCTACTTCTTAATGTCAGTACAAAAG